ACCTTACGTGCAAAATCACTATAAAAGCTAAATAAAACACAAGTTAAAACAACATAAAACGGGACTAAGCGCACCAAATATGTACAATATTGGGTGCTCATCACACCCCCCAACTTGAACTTTGCTAGTCCCTAGCAAACTAAAGCAAAACATTTTTAACTAAGCTATGCAATCTCCCAAATGAAGATACGAAAATTATGCTCAACAACTACAACTAGGCAAGAGTCCAAAGCCACCCCTTCAAATCTGAGTATATGCAATCCACACACAAACATGCCATGAACTAGGATGAACAAACTATGCCATATTAGAGTAGTCAAACATGCAGGCACCACAACGAGTTTCGACTCCAAAACTCATAAGGATACACTCTTATTCGACTTTTCACACATTAAGATACAAGATACATCCCATGACAAGCGCTAGCGAGTAAATGCAATAGCCAGAGACAAAAAGCTATGCATGCTATCAAAAGGGCGCTAAAAAAAAGAAGGAAAACTAATTATTGACAAGTATGGAAAGACTAGGGATATCACAACTTAAGTAATAATACATATCGACCATGCATCAAATGGAGTTTACAAGCGTACTAAAGATCAACGGAGGACTTTATTAGCTTATAACGACCTTGGATACAAAGGGAAAGAGACTACAAAAATGTAGTGGCCATATACTAGCTCGGATCAACTACCCCTTGGCCACTACCGACCCTAAACTACCCAAGGCATGGCTACATATCGGCCAAACACCAAACAAAGTTACGAAGAATAAAGAAAAACTACTACCACCGACTCAACCACACATAGTCATCATCCACATCCGGCTCCTCATGGTATTGAGCATCGAGCTCCCCCTTCCTCGCTGAACTCTTTCTCATCCGGAATGTAAGCTAGCCCGGAGGTCACACCAATCCTCTCATTATAATATTCAACCCTCTTTCGAAACCGATAATGCTTTTTCATAGCATTTCTTTGATTTTTCTTTGAGGAATAGGGTCATTTGAGGTGAGATTTGTAGTAAGAGAGATTGAGGGGCCAATTTTGAAAGCTTTGGAGAGGGAGATGAAAATTTGGATCTTTAGCTTTTGTAGTGGGAGATGAGCAATTAGGAATCACATACCAATTTCTTCACCTTTTTCCACATTCCAACCACTTCAATCACATTCACACCACCCCCAAACCTCCTTAAAACATTGAAAACTATAGACACACAACCCTCCAAACATCCGGTTACCTAGGTTTGAACAATGGAAGAGACTCGGACTATGGTTCAAAATAAGGACGAGGTGACTCTTATGTGGTTTAATCAAGCAAAAATGCCTTGAATCATTTCCTAAGTACGCCAACAACTCCAAAAAGATGCATGAAAGATATAAACACTACTCAAGTATGAACAAAAGATATTATTTACGCAAGCGCGAGAAATGAAAGCAAGAAGCATGGGATGCTTAAAAGTGAATCTCTACTCTAGCGATGCACACTACTTGACTTGACTTTTAAGCTCAACTTGTTCATCAATGTTCATGTATATGCAAATGACATGGATTAAAACACATAATCGAATTCGACGGGATACATGACTCTTGCCATTTTGAGAACAAATGAGCATAATTAAAGTATCTAACCATACGAAATCACTACCAACAAGGGAAGATTGCACAAAAAAATTGAAAATTTTACCAATGTTTACCAATGAGACAAGTCTCATAAACATATATATAACATATATATCCCTCCCCCCAACTTAAACGATGCTATGTCCTCATAGCATGAAGACAATTGAAATGAAATACAAGAGAGGGAGTAAACGTACCTTCCAACCAACTCTTCACGCGAGTACATGAGTACTACTTTTCTTCCCATTTCTCAAGCAAGAAACGGGTGGCTATACCAGACCAACAAAAGAGAAAAAGAAAAGAGAAAGAGGGGGAAAGAAAGAGTTTATGTACGTTCAGCCAAACGCGGGCTCCGAACATTGATCATGCCAATTAGAGCTAATAAAATGAACATGGCACTCTGCTTCACACTCCTCTTCAAAAATTGAATCCGACCATGCCACAAGATAAGATATTTTGAGTAGCGCATTTGCCGAATTCGTTTTAGACATTTAAATTCAACCAAGTGCGCATTCCAAACTAGATTGATTTTCAAAGAGTTGACAAAATCCACAACATAAGGATGGTAAACCAAATCAAAGTCATCAACACCTAGAAAATCAATTAGTTCAACTCCAACAAAGTCTTGTAATGGTGGAGACTCACTAGGAGTGCCGACAACATCTACAAAATTCTCATGAGGAGAACATTGGACATTAAACTTATCACGGCATCCTAACTCTGAGGTTTTTTTCAAATCTAAACCAACCTTTTCAAGAATGATTAGTGGCTCTACTTCTTCTTCCTCAACATTTAAGTTGGCATCATTAACATTGACATCATAAATCCAAGATTCCGAATTTTCAGCTAATTCATCAAAGTAATCCCAACTCTCATTAACGGTTCTATCCAAAAATGCACCATCAAACATACTTTCCACAAGCTGACGCGTTGTAGAATTTAAACTCTTATAGAAAATGGGAATAAGGTGCCTTGTTTCACAGCTATGCTGCGACCAATAGAGTACGGGATATTTAAACCGCCACCAACAACACGCAAAAGACTCTTCATCAAGTTGATAAAAATTTACGATTTCACGTAGCAGCATATGAGTCTCATGCATTGGAGAAAACTTTTTGAAAAATTGCTCTTCCATATCTTGCCATGTAACTATTGATCCTGGATGCAATGAATGAAACCAACTCTTAGCCTTGTCTTTCAAAGATGATGGAAATATCTTAAATAAGACCACTTTATCGTTCATGCAAAGCTCCTCAAGTTCTATGATATGCGCACATGGATTTTCAGAGGCCAAGCCATGAAAATGGGGTAACACTTCAAGCATGCCTGACTTAACACTTAAAACATTGGCAGAAGGGGTGACAATGCAAAAGGGTGTAAAAATTTGATTGGGATAAAGGTACTCCTGCATAGTCTTGGGGACTGTGTCCTCATTGGCCCCCGCCATTCTATTAGATAGATATTTCATAAAGTAAACAGGCTAGAGGGGCTATGCCGCCACCTCCTTCTCAAAACAGTTCCGTGGGGTTATGCCACCACCACGTTATACAAACAATAAAAGAAAAGGCAATTGACACGTACTCTAGCTTCGTTACACCTCAAATTTGATATGAAGATCGGTTAGAGGTATCCGCTAGACTATGTATAAGTTGCACAAAACAAAATAAAGCGGGATACTTACAATGGTTTGTCGAACCTCCCAATAAGCTATAATAAGAAAGTCCCCGGCAACGGCGCCAAAATATGCTTCGTCCACAACCTCGCCTCCGAAATGAGGTTGAATTACCCCGAGCGTAGGGCTAGGTCGTTGTCAGCATAGATACCGGAAATCCGGAATCGTTCCCACAGAGAGAATCTCTATAGCTAACTAGGATTTGTAGATGCAAGTGTTCCCGGCGTTAAGACGGCCAACTATCGGTTTTGCTTTGAACGATGGAGAAATACTCTTATGGAAAAGACTAGAAATGAGGTTTTAACTAAGAATTAAAAGTGGCAAGGCATAGAAGTTCATAACGCCCGTAACTTAGGCCAATCAACTTTTCTCAACGAAAACACGATTGAATCACACGGCATAGGTTATCAACCGGAAGATTTAGCGGTGAAAATGGTTAGACTTGATATAGAGTTTGAATAACAAGCTAAACACAAGGCGTGACATCGCTCTCGGAACCATGTGAGCAAGCACATGATCACCGGAGATTAACAACGCCGAGACTTGTATTCAAACTAAATATCAAAGTCATCAACAAGAAGCGTAGTTTGGAAAGCGAGCAAGTTCTTTGGTTCTCTTGGCAAACACGAGGCGAGACATAGCTCACGGAACCATATGAGCAAGCATATGATCACCGGAGGTTAACATCAACTAGTTTTGTTACATAAAGGCGAACCCTTCTTATTTTTCATACTAAACTTAGAGCCAAAAGTTGAGAAAGGCAAGATAAGCAAAAGTCGCGAGGCGATATTCGTCCCACGGCCAAGCCTTAACGACTACTCACTCATAACGGAAAAGCTAGAAATTATGCTAGAGATTGAAATCATGTTTAACCGATAGAAGTGAAAATAAACTTGATTTTATAAAGGATCCAAAGCATACAAACAACTTTAATACTCGAGAAATTAACGTAACGTAAATACCTTAATGTGTTCTTGAGGAATTACAACTTGAAAAGCTTGAAAAGCTATGGAGGAACTCTTAGAACTAAAAGACTTAAAGTAGTTTGTATCTAGGTAATGAATGAGAGAGAGAGTGCATGGTACTTATACAACCAAGCCCTTCTCTCACAATAAATATCCCAAAACTTGCCAAAAGTGGCAAGTATTCCATAAATGGAAAGTTGAAAAACTGGAAAAAGCTGTCAGTAAGCAAACTGTATCCATACAACCAAAACGGTTGTATGGATACCGAGCTGTTAAGCTTGTGTTGGAAGTTCTCCGTAGCTGAGCTGTAGGGATACAACCAAAATGGTGTATGGATACGCTGTAACCTGTCCAAAAGATAAGGCCACTGTATCCATACAACCAAAACGGTTGTATGGATACGGCCTTGCTAACTCCAGAATTTGCCTTCAGCTTCAAAACTTGGCACCCGACGCTTCCGAACTTCACCCGATACTTCGTATCTTGATCATTGGAGAACGGTGGTACTTCGCCACTTGGCCTTGGAAGCTTGGACTCCCCCGAGGCATGTCCATGGCATCAAAATCACCCTTGTTAGGGCGTAAAACCTGAAACATCCTCAAAGGAACCTTACGTGCAAAATCACTATAAAAGCTAAATAAAACACAAGTTAAAACAACATAAAACGGGACTAAGCGCACCAAATATGTACAATATTGGGTGCTCATCAGCTAAACCTGTCACGGCCTCCCACTTACTATCAGGGTACTCACTCGGTGGGGAATCGAACCCCTGACCAAAGAGAGCACTCCCAAATTCAGTCATTCGCCCTTACCACTAGGACAACCCCTGGGTGTGTTTTTAGCATATGGGTTGATATAGCAAGGAAGGAAAACGCCCCCGACTCGATTCGTTTCAACCCGTCTACTATTGACCCGTATCCACCCCGCCCACAATCAACCTAGAACCCGCCCAAACTCGCGTCATTTGCCACCTCTAAATTCTCTTGCAATTAATAATGCGTACACTCATTAATATTAAGACGTCCATATGCTACATTTGATGAGAAGACCCAATCTCCGCAATCACCAAATCCTATCAAGACCATGATATTGGTTGACTATACCAAATAATTGAACTGAACATAGAAGAATTATCCCTCAATTTGGATTATGTTCTCAATGCTTGATCCACGTAACATAACATCAAAATCAAATCATTTGGAGAAATTACACAAAATTTAAATTCAAACCATAACTCTACTCTTAAATGAGCACGCATGTATACTTTCTTTTTTTTTATCGGCAAAAGTAGCAATTTATTAATAAGGGGGAAGGGAAATGGGACTACCAACAAAAAGTTGAAAATACATCCAGATTGGACGATCCCAAAACACCTAAAGGGCAAGGCCCAAAACACCTGAAGGTCGAAAACCCAAATAGACAGCTAAAGCACAACAACTGAAGGCCTAGAAGCCCAAATACACACAATAAGTCCAAACAAAAAAACCCTAACAAAAAGTTTCACCTACGGCTAAGGACTAACCAACAGCTAACCACCCACAGACGAACTCCTCTATATACACGTGTGATGGTAACCATTCTTTCACAGTGGTGAAAAAGATAATAGAGCAAAAACAAAAAATAAAATAGGATTCCCAGCGGCACCAAATAGCATACAGAACGATAATATTCATCAGTAGTAAAATAAAATCTAGATTCTTCGATTTCCATGAGATTGGTGTGGATGGTACAACAAATTAGAATGAAAGACAATGTGTGTTGACAAAAACGACCATCCAAGAAAAATCAACTGAAATTACCAGAAAGATCAGAACTGTGGAGCAGTGTGGATGGTATAACAAATTTGAATGAAAGACAAAACTTTGGGGCTATTTTACTGCTAAATGCAACTTAACATGTTCACTGCTGTTAGTCATGATCAGCCACCAAGTTTAAAAGGCTCTCTTTTCTTTCAATCCCGGTAATGAAGGGATTGTCACCCAAACAGAAAACCAGTCTCTGCTGATGTTTGAAAGTTTATCACTGACAGAAATCAGGCATGTGCTTCCATCCTAGTCTTCACCAAAGTAGACAAAGCTTTTCTAACGCGTGTCGTACTGGTTACTTTGCAGGCGAAAAACTTGTCAGAGATATTGTAGGTGAAAAGCCTGCTGGTGATGTCAAGAGTTGCGCGATTTCGATGCAGTTGCCTGCATAACATTTGTAAGTCATGAAGTTAATACTTGATTTTACTGTGTGAAGTACAACTTATGAAGAGAAGCTCTTCCGTTTTGAAAGGCGCTATTTCTTGTATGTACTTTACCTTCCAGAAGTATGCGACGTTAGGAATCTTGGTAAGGTTGAAAAGTCGTGGTAAAGTTCTAACAATGTCAATATATCTAAGGCCTTAGCGATTCCGTATTTTGTATTTGAAAAACATAGTCCCCTGTAGTGTCAAAACTCAATTAACTAGTATAGAACATGGTAACGCTCCATCTACTAGTCTGCGCCATATGGAGGCATATATTAGACGCGAATAATTGCACGAAAACTGTGCAGTTTGACCAGTGGCAAGATATTAGCATACCTTGAACTCTCAGTCCGGAGTTGAGGGCTCATTTCAATGAAAGGTCAAATTTCTGTGAAGTTAACTCTTCCAAATACTTCCATGACCTAATATATGTGTGTTACATGTTCCGCCCCTCAAATTGCATAACATCAGCTTCACAATGTTTAGTGCCAAAAGCAAGAGTATGTTCTTACTTTTCCATGGTTAACCACTTAACCCTAGTGCCACAGATACTATAAGAATGAAAATAAGCATCTCAATGTATATTACCGAAGAGGTCAAGAAACGAGAACCAAAAGCTCCTTGAAGCTTCACAGTTGGGACAGAATGCTCTTTTTTCCAACACGGGCAACACGTATATACATCCTAATGTTTAAGAGAGTGGAACACTCAAACGGAAAAAGGACAACTGAAGTGATGATAAAAAAAATTAAAAAAAAATTTAACTGAAGTGGATAAATGTACACTGACACTTCCATGTTCACCTATAGAATACTGAGACAAACCTCCTAAATACAAAGTTGAAACTTCTCACTTTTGTGATATTGCCTGAATTTATGTTCCTGCATACATTTCCAGTTTTGCCTGATAAGGATTATGGAGCAGTCGCCAAGATATAGAATTATAAGTGATAGTTCAAGTACCTTAAAAAATAATTAGGAAACAATTCATGCATCTATATCCTGCGACGGAACTTTCAACGACCGCCTAAGCTTCCGTAGATGAAGAGCTATCTCTGTCAAAAGTTTTGTTCCCTCACCACCCTTTTGAAGTGTCATAGCAGCATGCTTTAAGAATCCACTGTCTGCTTCAATTGCTTTCAGTCTCTCCTTTATAAATGACACTTCTTTGGTAAGAATGGCCTTGTTCTCATTGCCTGCGCAACCAACAAAATTCATTTGGCTGTTGCAAGAGTATCTAATGGATGGAAAAATACACAAACATTTAAACAAACCAAACCAAATAGAGCCTTAAGCCCCAATCAATTGGGGTCGGCTACATGAATCCATTTTTTCCATTGAGATCTGTCGAGGGCATTGTGTCCTCATTTAAGAAGGAAGTTACCTGTATATTCATCTACATGATCTACCATGCCGGAGTCTACGTTGAGTTTCTTCTCCAAATTTGACAACATGCCCAAAAGAAAAGTTCTATCGCCTTCAAAATCTAACGATGACTCCTCAACGGTCCTTTCTCCACTTTCTTCCTGCAAAGGGCCAGATCGTTCACGATTATGCCCGTTTTCTGCAATTTGATTTCCTCCGTTAGGACTTCCACAATCCGATTTCTCGCTCAAGGGCGATAAAGATTGAGATTTCAACTCTTGGTAATCTTCATCGGCATCAACTTCACATTCGTCACTCCCTACTCTATTTATCTGTCCATATCTTTCTCTATAGGTATCAAGTTCGGCCTCTAAACCCTTGATCTCCTCCTCTCTCTTGGCAAGCAAATCCTTCATCACTTGTACTGCTTCTTGATCGTACTCTGCCTGCTCCTCCATCATTCTCTGATACTGTAACGCTTCCATTTGAACAGCCGCCTTCTCTGCTTGAAGCCTTGTGATCATGGCCATTGCGTTGTTTGCTGCAACTGCGGAAGCGCTTCTTTCTTCATCCAATTCCATGTACATTGCTATCAATGACTTGCGATCCAAGCGAACTTGTCTCTTCAAACTATGCAAGATGGAGTCACCTTCTGTTTCGTTTGCGTCATTGGACTCGGAAAAAAAGTCTGACTTTTCGAATAGAAACTTCTTTTGAAACCTAGAAGCCCACCTGGGACTTGCTGCTGCTGAATCCGTAAGTGGGATTCCAAAAAATCTGTTGCCTTTCGTGAAGTTTGGGGTCTTAGCTTCTTCTATAATATCTTCAGTGTCCGGTAGTAATGGCACAGAAGCGGCTTTGTTCTCTTCTTTACCTGCTTAAGAAAGATAAGAAGGATACTCATTTTGTTATCAAGTACGTAGACAAAAACATGGTTTGAGTCCCTGTGTGTCTTGAACTTATTTTGCATGCACTTCGATAATATTTTCAACATTTTCGTGTTCTTCTATAATCGGCATTTAAATACGAGCTTACTCCATTTTTGTTATACTCCATTATTGCAGCCGCTGAAGTGGCTATCGGACTGGCTATTGCTTTCAGGAGAGTGTCAACTTCCGTTTTAGATCCAGCGCGCGCTTCTTTCTTTTCCCTCGACAAAGCACTCCTCTAATTCAAGTTACCGAACACAGCCTTACGGTTTAGTCATTGCCATGGTAGTGAAAAAGCTCTCACTTTCAACGCGCATGTAGTAAACAATGGTAATAGCACTATACAAAAGATGAGAAGTTCCGGTTAACGCAGGCACGGAAACGCTAAATTATCTCGGCCTTATTCATAGATTGATGAGGGAAAACGAGTAATACAATGTGACTGGCGAAATCCCGATACGTACGGATAGTTTTTCTTTCATTCATTCTTTTAAAATTCTAACAGCCTAACAGGTGAGAGACATGAAAATCAATGAGTTGGTTAAGATGTTTGTTGCATGAAGACGACTGTAAAGAAGGTAAAGATGGACCCATAACTCACATTGGCTATCTTCATCATCTGGAATCTCCGATTCGTTATCGGACATAAACTTCAGCTCCGTGTAACGAATATGAGGCAATTCTAAATTCCTCGATTCCTCGTTTTTCCAGGTCAAAACCGGAGCTCTAGGGGATGGAGCAGGCGCTTGCGAAAGAAAACTCGCGTTCATCGACGAGGATGGCTTCATCTTCAAGGCCTCCCCACAACAAGAACACCTGTGGACCCCGCTTTTCTCAACCTTCATCGCATCATCCCTCTTTCCAAGATATGTTTGTCTGTGACTAATCCTGTGATCATCCTCCATAAAGGTGTCAATATCCTTGTGAAGGATCCCAACTAGGGATTTGTAAGCATCCGTGTCGGACTCTCTCTCTGTTGCAAACGAGAGGAGGCATCCCTCACACATGCTCCGGATGTCTGAGAGTTTTCGGTGCATGTGGCAGTAAGCAAGGGAGGAAATGTCCCTCTTGTGAGATTCACAAATGGAGTCGTTGTAGTAGAAGTTCGAGTTTCTGTGGACGAGGACGTGGTCGATTCTGGTGCAGAGCAGGCAGGGGATTTTCAGGTCGAAGAATTTGGCGAATTCGTTGGAGACGAACGCTAGGAATCCGTCGATGAAGAGCAAGAAAATCAGCGTCCATTCGAGGAGGGCGTATACTACAAAGTGTGGGAATCTGCCCAGCTTCCGTTCTGCAAGATGCTTGAATGA